AATACAAACCCAACATGCAACTTCTTCCTATTCCAAAGTGGGACTTACCCCCCCAAATCTGGCAGCTTCCTGATGGCTGCGTGAAATGGGCAAAAGTCCCCCTGATACTAGGTGTAATCCAAACGTCTCCCTTGTGAATGAAGCCAAATTATGCACCAAATTTCTAGAAATGGAAGGTTAGAATAGCCTTGCAGATATTTTTATGGAAATGGATCAAACTAAGTTCATTTCAACACCAATGCTGTGTAACCATGATGTTCTGAGATCTTACTAAGAAATACTTTGCCATATTTTCTTCCATGCTGCAAGGGAAAATAATTCTAAATTTAATGTACAATAGTTGGAGAGCGTTCCCATCAGTTTGGAGTTCCAAGTACAAGAAGAAATTGAGAAATGCTTAATGTTTCTGCTGTAGAGAAATATTTAATGCAACAGAATTCCTTCTCAAAGTAAGTACACAAGTATTAGTCTGCATGCTGTTGTGAAATAGTCACTTTCATTGCTAGTAAGATTAACGTAAGAGTTATATTTCCAAAGGAGCTTCTACAGTAGTACGGTATAACAATTGCAGTATGCCACACCTAAAGAGTCTCCCGAGAGATAATGGAACAAACATCAGAACTCACGGCTTGGGGGCTATTTAACAGGTCAGTTTTTCAATACAAAAGTGCTAATATCACAGGTCCAATATGAGTGGCTTTTAGATCCAACATTCTGTACATACATTACAGAACTTCTGTCCTCCTGGTTTTTTCACTGCTTCACAAGCTTGAGAGACTTCATATCACTTCCCATTCATCTTCAAAATCATCAGGGTGAAGCAGAACGGAAGTGTCATTATTCTTCTGCAAACTATGGGAATGGCTAAAGGTCTTAGTGAGGCGCTGGAGAAGGGATCCTGAAGTACTGATCGCCCATAGTTCATCTAGAGGGGTCACTGCAAAGCATAAATTATCCATCTTTTAATTAAGATAGCAGGTTCCAATTATAAACATTAAATAAATAATATTTGGATCTATTTCCCTAATTATACCCAGAGAAGGTTTTTACTAATGTGCTAAAAGCACCCTTGGTGAAACTCTCAGAGCCAACAAAGTACTTAGAGTATGCAGCTCTCCCTGCATGTGGTCAGCTTGAGCACCATCAGCCAGGAGTCAAAGCAGGCAACACAATGTTTTGGACTGTCATGCAGAACCAACTTGCCTGTTAAACGTGAGACATTTCCAGGAATCTTCTTCCAGTAGTCCCCTGCTGGATTCTTGTCAGTAATGCCATATCGACGAGCTACATCTCCATTTGGACAGCGGGCCCAAACGGTCCTTGTACTTATAGCCAGCTGACAAGCCTGCAAACCTAAAGATAATTGGACATGAAGAGGGAATAATCACAGGCTTTCTTATATGCTAAATACACTTGCAGAAAAGTTTATTAAGAGAAGACAGCCAGACTAACAGTTTTTGTGTACTCTTATATTAATACTGGAGAAGAACTCTCCATTATAGAAGGCACAAAGAAATATCTCGCTTTCCAGGAGGCTTTCTAAGAGAGGATTGGCAAGAAGACAATTTAGGACTACATATTTCCTCACACTGACTTTGGGGGAGCTGAACAGAGTAGATGCTATTCGAATCTGTGCTTCTGGCCCTGTGTAAGCAGAATATCAGAAAGTAGGCCACTTGCAGCCCATGAAGCACTGGTGAACAAAAACGCTTTTTCATTACAGACTTTGTACTCACTGCATCTATTGACCACCAGGATATCACACTGTAGATACATTTTGTTATGTGGCGACAGCCACAAACAACAACCAATTAGAGGATCTTCAAAACATACTTTTGGAGCCTCTGCTGTATTTTACTACCACAAGGGGAATAATCCAACAGTTATAACTTTAGTTTGTCTAAAAATGGTTAACATTATAGATATTGTGGACTTCTTGTTTCTTCCTCTTCACAAGAAAGCAAGTACTCCACAACTAAGTGCCATGCATTTATGCAGTGAAAAAACTTTTAAAAAGCAGACAGCATCAATACACAGTTATTTAGAAAGAAACAACTAAAATTTAGTTTTATTTACAGGTAAGGCAAAAATGTAATTACCTAGTCTAGAATGCATCCAGCACGCAGGATTAATAAAGATGTGCAAAATAGCATTAAGTTTTTGTTAGCCACATTTAGATAGGAACCCCATGTTGTATCACATTTAAATACAAAACTTCCCACAGCACAGTAGTCTCCTATTGCTTAGGAATACTGCTTTAGTTCTAACTGAAAGAGAACTGTACCGTTTATTAATTCAGTGGCAGCAGCCTGAAATAAACACACAACAGAAATTCATCAAAAAAATCAGATTTCTCTTCAGTTAACTACTTAGGTTTTTTTAAGTAAAACCAAGGTCACCTTTAAAAGATAACCCTTATCAAATACTTTATTATATTCCTGTAAGTAAGCATGCTTGATTGCTGAGAAAAATATTTGATTTAAGCATTGCTCTTCAATTTAAAAAGCGGGAAAAAAACAACAAAAAAACCCCAACACTGAGAAAATGGCAGAAAGAACAAGGAATGGATGCATTAATTTTTACCTGGTACATGTTCCCAGTCAGTGCCTACAGGCATTTCATCTGTAATTCCAACTCGGACATGGACATTCCATTTGCTATCAATTGCCCACAACATCTGATCATTTGGACTTGAATGAATGCTGACCAAGTTGATTCCTACTGGCTATAAAAATTAAGCACAGTATTTAAACTTTGTACTACTGTATCTTTGTAGTATTGTATCACTTGTTCTTCACATAAGTATGCAAGAGAAGTAAAATATTTACCCAATATTAAAGACAGGAAGAAATTTAACTGACATTTTATTTGTCATTGTACAAGATTACCGATTTTCCAAAAAGTCAATCCCTTCCTCAATAGAAAAGCAACATAAAGGAATGTCACCCAAAGTTAAATATGAATATCTTTATCGGTAATATTCAGCATCCAAGTCTAATATTATTAGTATTTGCTTAACTACGGTTATTGCAATCAGGTACCTTTTCAGTTGCAAGTTGAAGAGGGAACTCTTCCTCTGAAATGCACAAAGTGCAGTGTTTTCCTCTTGCCTTCCTGAAAGTTTTCCTAACATAACTAAATCTGCACTTTATTTTTCAGCATATACAAGCAGTACATTTTTATAGCCTGAATGTCTCCTCTTTGCAATGAAATGGTGATCTGCCTTCTTCCCTGTACTCCGTTCCACAGGAACACAGCAGTGGATGGATCTCGCTGCAGACCACTGCACTACTGGAGCAGCCACACCTGCAGGAGAGTATCCACAACACTATCTGTTGGCAAACCCCAGTGAAACACACTTTCCATTCTGCTCCCAGTCAAGTCCTTACTCTACCTGCTTCTATGGAGATTTGCCTTAACTACTGTTCAAAGTCAGTGTTACTGACCACAACATTTTACGGATGTCAAAGACAGGGATTTTGTAGCAGAATATATCAGCCAACAGGTTTAGTGAACGCAAATATCCTGAAAAACATGTATTTTAAATAAAACGCAGATACAAACACAAAAAAAAGTTTTTCTCCACATCAGCCTAATAAAGGCACTGAAGAAGACAGTAAGGTGCCCTGAAATACATCATCACGTCACAAAGAAGCACTGCATTTCTTGTCTCAGCCTCATAGGCATAAGCTGAATTTCCAGTGTGATAAATACAAGAGCAAGCAGCTCTTTGCATGTATGAGACTAGGAATACAGAAGCATAATCTGCACATGTATATAAGCACACAACCCAGTCCCAGATGGGCCTTCTGTGTATGTAAGAGTTCACAGAATCATAGAATCGTCAAGGTTGGAAAAGACCTTTAAGATCATCAAGTCCAACCATTAACCTAGCACTGCTAAGTCCATCACTATACCATGTCCTCGAGCACCACATCTATCCGTTCTTTAAATACCTCTAGGGATGGAGACTCAACCACTTCCCTGGGCAGCCTGTTCCAATGCTTGACCACCCTTTCGGTGAAGAAGTTTTTCCTAATATCTAACCTAAACCTCCCCTGGGGACTCAGTTACCTGCTTTGGTTTTGCTTTTAAAATTCTGGTGCTAACATGTGTCTGACCCAGCTATAACCAAATTCGACTTGCATCACTGAATCAATCTTGCCTACTCAGGCTGCAAGGCCTTTGACAGACTACCTTCTCACGTTTGTGCTCTCATTAGGTACTTGCCCCTCGGTGGAAGCTTGAGGCTGGTAGAGGCTTGATGAAGTGTTTACCCCTGGTCACAGTAAATTCACAATGGCTGCAGTTTGAACACTTACAGTAAGACACTAATTGTCTTGAAGAGTGTTGACTACATAGAATATATAACTGCCTAGTTACCTTCAAATTGGTATTCTGCTGTATTACAAATAAACTATTGTATTGCAATGCCACCCCCCAAAAACAACCCCCACAAAACCAAATCCAAAACCAACCCACCAAAAAAAAAACAAACAACTAAACCATAACAAAACCAAAACACCCCAAAACCCCATACAACTTTCCCCTCTGATCTTGTTGCCTCTTCACGGCAAGTTATCCTCACTCCTGGCCCTGCTCCTCCCCTCCATTTTTATTTGCTTCTTTCTATGGCTACTTTGGCTCTGACTCCTTCCTGCTTCACCCTGTTCACCTCCCCACATCACTGTCACGGGTACGTGTATGTCACTACTGTGCTGCTTCCAGCTTCATCTCATCCTTCTCCATATTTCTGCTCTTGTAGTCCCATATTTTCAAGGGAGCTGTGCAATTAATGCCTTGTGCGGACTGAATTACTGCACGTAACAGGAGATCTTTGCCTTTTTTCTTTCCTTTTTTTTTTTTTTTTTTAAATCCACTTATCTCCTCCTCCCCACAATGTTCTTTTACCACAATCACCTCTTGCCCCAATTTAGGACTTTCTGCCACTCTTCCCCCATCTCCTTCACGCCATGAATTCCTAGCGTGTCTGTCTATGCTCCCCCTCTGCAATACTCTTCATGTTCCAACTACAGTCCTTCACAAACTGTGCCAAACAGCTTGGTGTGACCGTCATTCCTGAGCTGTTGGGATTTGTGCACCTTGCTCTCCACTCTTCCATGTCATGATCCCATTCCTCTCTTTGTCTGTCATTTGCCTAGAAAAGAATTCCTTGAGAAAGAACTGGAGGAGTATTTCCATCTAGAAAGACTTACTGACTGCTTACACCTAGTACCTAAGCCTGTGCATCGCTACAGATTTATAGGTAGTGGAAGCTAAGGAATGCAGACAAAACACGCCCCAAAGGGGTAGCAAGAAAGGAGCTGCATGATGCTCAGCTAGATTGCTTCTGACACCACTGCAGGTTTAAGTATAATCAAAGCAATTACCTCTACCCTGTTCTGCAGCACCAACATATCTAAGAAACAAATGGAAATTATCAAGTTCAAAGTAACAACTTTACAAGCTTGGCCAAAAATTCTTCTCATTCTTTGTTTTTCTAAGTGAGGTCCTGTTTCCTCCTCGAGTTTCCCTACCTCTCTGGGTATTTCACTTCTGGCTTCTCTTCCTTTTTCAGGCTACTTAGCTCCTTCTGATAAACTCACACCAATAAAACAATCCTCCTACTCACTCTCGTTATAAAGGATCCAGGCAATACACCGATGGCAGCATCCAATGCTCTTAACAGAACACAACCCCCTCCACTGCAGCCTTCTGCTGTGAAACAGACAGTAAAGGGCACAACTGACAGGACAGCTAGTGATAGGATTATATACAGCAGCTTTTGGCACAAAACAGTGACAAGACATTGGGAAATATGTACAGGCAATTCTTAGAGCCTGTTGCAGAGGTTTGACCTCTGGTTTGACCTCTTTTTTTTTTTTTTTTTTTAAATACCCAGAGAGCAGCCATCTACAACAACAAAGTGTTCTCATGGCTACCACAGTAGGGTGGATAAAATTAATTTAAAATTTTCTTGACATAATGTACCATTTTTTGGAACAATCATACTGACAACATCTCGGCTATCCCTCATTTTCACTAAGTTTTAATTACCATAAGCATGCTTTAAGTGTTTTATAAGCTATATAACAAAAACCAGATCTCTACAGCTGCAGTTAAAGAGTAGAGTTCTCTCACAGCAGTAGAAAGATATCTGTGCAAGTTTATAAATCTGCTGATAACGTTTCAGAGACTGATAACCATGAAAATTAATAAATTATTTCAGTGTAGCCTTTTCTCAGCTGGCTTAACTTCCAATAGCATTCATGAGATTTATATACCTTGACCATGAAATATGTCATATTTGTAATTTACTGAAGAGTCTGGAATTTTCAAGAGTCTCTCACCAGTCTCTCAGCCTTTCTCCACAGATGCTGACACACCAAACTCTGTTTATAGGTTTATCCACAATACTCATCACTGTGAGAGATCAACTTGTCATGGAGCATTAATGGATTCAGCGTTATCTGGTAAGGAATGGTGGAACATTGTTTTCCTTTTACTTGCGGTGCCAAAACTTTCTAAACTCAAAAAAATCTCAGGACACTGACTGTTTTAGCCAAGAGCAGAACACAGATCTTCCTGCCCTCTGGTCTTCTACCTCAGCTACAAAACCCCCAGTTGCTCTCTGTGTTTTGAAGGTTTCCCACTACAACCATGGACAGCAACATGTGCCAACTACGTACTTTTCAACTTTTAAAACTACATACTAAGAGCTGTGAATACCTTTACTGTCTGATACAAATAAAAACAATGAAAAATAGTTTGCTAGCACCCATGTGTCTGATGAGACAACAGTGCAGATAAAATGAAGTAAACTTGAAGGAAGCACTTAACCAACAAATTGTTAAATGATATCAAGAAATAGTGTCTGTGCTAAACAAAGTTATAAAGTTGTCCATTAGCTTTGCAATTCTGTGCAACTCATTTCCTTTCTTTCTGCAAACCATGGAGAAATAAGCTTCAGTTTAAGAGAATTTAAACAATAGTATCAAACAAAATCCAAAGTAAAAACTAACGCAGTTACCCACCCTCCCCTGACCGCCTACTCAAAAGTCTTCTCTTGTAACTACTTCAGTCGTGGCTGAACCCAAAACACAGTGGTTCAACTTCCTTGTCAAGGGGGGAAGGACAAACACACACATGCACACAAAAAAGGTGTCAGAACATTTTCCACGTCACTTTTCAGGAGTACAGTGTCCACGTATCAGCAGACCTCCACTATCTCTGTTCTGCTGCAAATATCCAGGACGAGGAAGACTAAACATAACGTTCTCAGTCTGACCCAGCCCAATCCTTTTTATAACAGGTTGGTGACTGCAAGCAGCACAAATGTTCTCCTCACCTTCAAAAGACAAATCAGAAGCATCGTCAGCCGGTCTAGGCCAGGCTGTAAGGTCAGATCAGAGATACTTCCCACGCTGTTGAGCGTTATCTGTATATCGGACTAATCTGACTATTTTCACGGCTAACAGACATCCAAGACCATATTAACTAGTATAACAAACAAAGAATGCAACTTAAAGAGACCCTCCCCTAATATAGGCCTAACTATTTGCATATCATTTTCTGAGCTCCATTTGAACGAAGGTTGTAAAGCACTTTCAGCATTAGAGATAACAAGAAAGCATGAGGAACATAAGAGCAGTATCGACCCGAATGTTTTGCATTCGGGCTTTTGAAGAGAACAGCTTGCTAAATTAAGCGCCCCTTTTTTCTCTG